TCTTTCCAGAGGTTCTCGTCTTTCAGGGAGGTGATGTTTTTCTTGGAGATTGGGGACAGTGTCAAGTATAGATTTTGTATTTTTTGTCTTTGAATAGGTTTCCGCTTGTCAACAAGAATTCTATTTGGGAGGTTATTTTCTAGCCTTTTATATCTTTCATATTATATACTTTTAAAGCTGCCCATTTTCTTCGAGTTTCTAATAGCTCAATGTTTGTGTAGATTTCACAGGCCGCTGTCGGCGAGGGTCTCATTCCACCAGAGATAAGACGAAGAGCTTGATTTTGGATGGTGTTCATTGAGTTCTTTGCAGTTTTACTGCAAATGTTTTGTCAAACAAGATTATAATCAAAAACAGCTCTAGTATATCCTAAATAGAGGCCTCTCATTGTGTTCTTGTCTGATCCCCAGTTGGTAATAGCTAGTGGTTTTATGAGATTAAGTCTCTTCATAGCCTTCCTCCTAAGGTTGTTGGTGAGCTGTTTCAGGTTAAGCTTACTGTCAAGTTGTACTATAAGACACACTGGGTTATTCTTTTATTTTCAAGTTGATACCGTCTATTTTGATAGAGATTTCTGCATTCTCAAGGTTATAGCTTCTTGTAAAAACAGAGTAGACATTTTTTTTGCAATTTACTTTCACCTTCCATAAACGGTAATAGGTTCCTAGGGAATTTAGATCATCTTGTAGTCTTCGTCTGCTTCTAGTTGTTGTGTCTCCAGTGTGCCAAAGGAACAGGCCATCTGCAAAAAGGGCTTTTTCTGTTTGGAGAACATCTGAAACATCATTGAGGAAGACAAGGAATAAGGTACAGCTTATAGAAGATCCCTGTGGGAGCCCTTCCCCAAGTACTGCTTTTGAAGATATGGTTTCATTCATCTGGGTCTGGATAAGTCTATCTGTAAGGAATGATTTAATCCAGGAGTACATATTTCCCTTGATTCCCATGTTCTACAGTTTTAAGAGTAGTCCTTTCCTCCACACTCTATCGTAGGCTTGTTGGGGATCCACAAACACAGCCGTTGTCTGTTCCCCTCTTTGAAATCCATCAATGATTTTCTGTGTAAGCCTGAAGAGCTAGTCTTCTGTCCTGCCTTTTGACCTGAACCCTGCTTGACACTGGGAGATCAGACCTGAAGACTCAAGCCTCCAATAAAGATGAGAATAGAGGATTCGTTCACGGTCCTATCGGAGACGGACATTAAACTAGGAGGTCCCGCCCCTTAAATAACCTAATAGTGTTGATAGGGGCGTTAAACCCATACTATTTTTCACTGAGTGTGCAATACAGGACGTGAGTGATATTGGACGGTAGTTTTTAGGGTCATTTGCTTTCTAGTTTATAGTAGATAGTATCCATGCTTTAGGTAGATTTCCTTCTGCCCATGCTCTGTTATAGCACTCCTAGCAGGTCTGAACAACAAATATTTGAATCGTTTTCAAGTCATTCAAAACAATGCCGCTAGACTTATAACAAGATCTAAAAAACGAGACCATGTCACTCCTTTATTAAAAGAACTGCAATGGCTCCCTTAAAAGAAAGAATAAAATTTAAAATCTGTGTCATGTGTTTTAAATGTATAAATAAAACTGCTTCTTTTTATCTACAAGAACTTATCAGAATATAATAAGCCATGGAGAAACCTAAGATCATCAAACGATAACACCCAAATTGTGACTCCCGTAAAATCATACAAATCACACGGAGAGAGATCTTTCTAATATCTTGGTCCACTTATGTGGAACAGATTACCCCTGGAACTAAGACAGACAAGAACACTTGATCGCTTCATAAGACATCTCAAGCATTTTCTGTTCCTACAGGCCTATCCTTCAGAAGCTTTTAGCGTTATTTTTTTTAAAAACTATAGTTGTTCTGTGCTTACGTCTGAATAAAAATAGCGCGCGCGCGCGCGCGTGTGTGTGTGTGTGTGTGTTTGTGTGTGTGTGTGTGTG